TATGTATGTATGTATGTATGTATGTATGTATGATAATCAAAATTAAAATCCAAGAAGAAGGTAGTGTTCATCATCACCAGTTATCGCAGCGCCATTAGTCGCATAAGGCCTTAGAAGGATTTTTCGGTTTCCATAATATGGGAGTGGGTTATCAGCGCTTAGACCAACCAACAACCTGGGAAAGGCGTTTTTGGGGAAAGCTGTCGTTGCACTTTAAAATAAGCATGAAGAAAGGCTATGGGCCTCTGATCACTGTAAAGCACGCGGTAGGTCAAAACTACAACTGCAAGAATTTCACAAATTGCGGACGTGACTGAGAGAGAGTACATTTTATTGACCAAAGCTTTCATTACATATTTCTTGAGAGAGAAATACCCTAAGGTCTTCAAGGGACAATTTTGATGTCAGCACAATTGACAAAGGTTTCCTGGTTACCGTGTCCTAAGCCACACCCCTCGTCATCACAACCCCAGCTGTTACCAACCTTCCACCACCACTGGAGCACGCAGTGATCACATGTCAAGCCAGGGGGGAGTATCAGCTTGATTGTTTCGTAGCTAGACCCAGATCCTTTGAGGTAATATCGTGTACTGCCTTCGGGAGATTTCAAGAGGTGTGTGAGCTTCTCTTGGGTGATGGGAGGTTTGCCAATCTTACCAACTCGGAATTCAAAGCGTCCTTGGTGATTGGCTGTGATATGGATCTGCAATATTGTTCAGTCGAATTACTTTGAATGTTCTTCTTATTGCTTAAGAAAAATTCCTATGGTGTTAATTACTGGGGTGGGGTTGTAGGCGGAAGACTCCATTTGTTCGTTATTGTTCCAAGGATGGAGATAAAATAGAGGTTGCATTCTTATCTGTGTGTTTATCATGAGTGTGGGACATAGTTCATGGGGTTGATTGGGCTTCTGGTGTTGGAGTAAATTAAGTGGGAATAATCCCTTTCTTTGGATGTAGATGTGATAAAAACTAGCTTCCTATTTGTTATTGCTAATCACCACACAAGTACAGCAGTAGTACACCTCAACGGGGTCGAACTGAAAGCATGTGAAGGCGTCTCTCACAGCCCCTTGTATGACCCCAGAGCACAGCTCTAACCAGTTTGAATTATATTGAGCTTGTTTCTTCAACCAATAACGATTTCAATAACCGAGCCAATCATCAGGGTGCCCTAAAACTTGATTTATTAATACAATCATTTTAAAACAAGTTCAATTAATAATATGATGAAAAAAGCCAACAAGAAAATTTTAGATTCAGTTTGAATTCGTTAGGGTTGATTTGAGAAGTGGGAAGAAAGACCGGAAGACCAGAAAAACGCTCGGAATCAGAAAGAGTTGTTTGTTGGTTCTCTCCTGTGATTCGAGGGTTTTCCGGGTTTCCTCCCTCCATAAAAATCAACTCCTAAATTCCAATTGGAATCCAGTGGAAGAAGAGTCACTCTGTGGAATCCACTGTTAATCCCATTATTATTATCATCATCATCATCATCATCATTATTATTATTATTATTAAGAGAATCAACTAACTCAGCCATGACCTAAGATCAGAGTCGGGAGGCGAGCGTTTTACTACCACGCCATGCTGACTCTCCTCAAAAGTACAGTATATGGTAAAGAAGATACGGTTATTTATGGAGCTGTTTAACTTCAAGAAGAAGAAATATTATTCTTGTTATTCTTATTGTTATTGTGGAGGAATGAATGCTAGGGTATTTGGGAGGTAAGAAATGAAAGATATGTAATGGGTTGTGGGCGGGAGGGGTTTGACAGAGGAACTAGACCTATAGGCAGTAAGGCGAAGGATATCAAAATTCACAATGAGATCGGATAAAAATGAACAACTGATGCACAAAAATAATCTAAGCATTAAGACAACAGGCATTCACGTTTCCTTTGGTTATCCAACTACAGGGGCGGATCCAGTGGAGGGGTGCAGGCGGTGCGCACCCCTCCCTGGTTCCACTTGTGCCCCTAATTCAAAGATAACCAATACTGTTTTTTCCCTTTGATTCTAAGGGGTACTCCCCTTCCTGGGTTAACTTTGTGCGCAGCACCCCTTCCCTGAACAAAATCCTGGATCCTCCCCTGAGCTATTCTATTTACCTTAGCCGTTATCTGCTGTCCTTGTTTATAGGTTTTAGTAATGAATCCATTGGCGTACCTGACGAGTAAATACAAAAAATCATATACCTCTTAAGTCAATCTGTTACTATAACCAACTCAGACGTACACCTATAGACCCCTCGTACTGAGTCCCGAGAGAAATTGTTCTGGGGGACTAAAGAGTAGGCCGTCTTTTCTTATGCAAAAAAAAAATCCATTGTTTTGTCCCCCAGAACAATTCCTCTCGGGACTCAGTGCAAATGGTCTACAGTGTACAGAGCCTTTATAACATTATGGGCTTCCAGGGAGCTGACGGTGCTCCATTACCCCCTGGCCCTCAGGACCCTCAGCTCTCCATCAGTAAGGTCTGTACTCAATATTTTCGGGCTGCCTGTGGCGTTTACATTTACAGTAAAACCCCGCGTATAAGAACCTAAAATTTAAGTACCTGTCAGGCTGAAATTTTCATTTTAAGCACCCTTCACATAAGAACCATTTCAGGCTGAAATTTCAAAGTAGGTTCTTAATTTTCAAATATAATGTCAATCTGTTTTATTTTCTTGTAAATAATAAAATACAGTACTCTGTATGTTAGGGTGCTTACACTGTGTCCATGTAGCTAGCATGAAAATGTGTGAATTATTTAAAGTATAACATGCCATGCCCACCAATACCAGTACTCATTTTCTTACCAAAAATTAAGAACCCATTTAAGAACCTAGATAGCCTGATTTCAAGTTAAGCACCATTTATATAAGAACCTGTTCAGGCTGACTTGCAAAAATCTAGGTTCTTATACGCGGGGTTTTACTGTATATCTCGCAACGGGAGACGTTTGACCTTTCCCAACCACCCCCAAACCCACCCTCTAGATCCCAACCCATCTCTGCCCTCGTTAAAAATGCATTTCTAACGAGGACAGAGTTTCGGAGAAAGAGTCCAATGTAAAAGTATCGAAGACGCACGACAGCAATTTCCCTAAAAATTCAGCGCATGAAAAGCCACTATGTGGAAATGCCACAGTTACTGAACCCCATTACAAAAACACGAGATGACGAAATCGTAGCAAGGCTTAGTAGAGACCTTTACCGTCAGGTTTACCGTTTAATATGGCGCCTCTTCCAGCAACAAATTCGTTATGAAGTACTGCTAAAGGTCGAACGTTTGAGACAAAACGCCTGACGTCGAACAGCAGTTTAAGGTTTGCGGTGCCTAGCAAGAACGACGTCGTACTCAAAGCCCTCTATAATTTCGATATCTTTCTAAAGGCTCTTTTTTCCCAAACGGAGTCGCTTACTGTTATTCTAAAACATACGACAAGCAGATACAATAATGCTTGCATTTATACGGGAGTTCACGACGAGGCCTGAAGGGGAAAGGAAAGGAAAGAGAAAGGAAGAGAGAGTTTCTGCACAAACGTTTATACCAAGTCTTTTGGAAAAAATTAATATAATTAGTCCTCGAAGTGCAATTTGCAATGATCATATACTACTATAATATGCCGACTTACATTCCAGGGTAGATATGACGTGCCACCCCGTACTTATCTCCACAGACACCACATTTGCCGCCAAGAGAAATCTGCACATTTCTCCCTCCACAGTTCTGCTCGTTAGCATTGTAGTTAGCAGGACAATTACCAGGGAACACTTTGTAACAGGCGTTCCTGGAGGGCGGGTCGATCATATACCCATGACCCCAGACTAAAGCTACAAAACTTGCGAGGCAAAGAGCTGAAACACCAAGCTTGAACGCCATTTTTTTTCAGTTTGGCTGTCGTTTTCGTGTGTGTTCTTCTTCCCTCTCTGCTGAGATTTGTACCCTTAAGGCGCGGGCATCCATCCAGCTTTGATTACACAACCATGCGAAACACACGTCGTATCCAAACACAACTTAAGTCGGTCTTAACAGTTAAAAACAATACTTGCTGGCTCAGTGTTATCAGCTGGAAGAATCGACGACTCCTTGAATTTCGTTTGTTGGTTTAGCTTTTTAGGTCGAGTGTGCAAAGCAAATGTTCCAAGGCCGATGCATGAAAATACTTGGCTATTTTTGTTTGATGATGAAGTTGTTGAGAAAAGAAGTGATTTATGTTTGTCTGACCTCTATCCAAAAAAATTTCAAATTTCTCATAGATCGTACCCTGAAACAACCTCTGGGCTGATCTAAGTCAGGGACCGGCTAACTCACAGATCAAACCCTGAAACAACCTCTGGCCTGATCTAAGTCAGGGCATGGCTAACTCACAGATTGAACCCTAAAACAACCTCTTGACTGATCTAAGTCAGGGCATGGCTAACTCACAGACCGAACCCTAAAACAACCTCTGGGCTGATCTAAGTCAGGGCACGGCTAACTCACAGATCGAATTGGAATTTAGTATGTTAGGTTTTAAGAGGAGAAGAAAACTGGAGATTCCTAAGAAAAAAAACATGCACGAATCGATCATGAGAGAAACTTAACAAACTCTTATCACGTGATGCAGAGTCTGGATGTCGAACCCGTTAACCCAGATGTGAGAGGTGAATTCATTATCTCTACACCACACCTTGCAAGCATCTTGCTTGCTAATTGTTTTCAAAGGAATTTGTTCTGTTAAAAAGAGCCAGACGTTCTGTACCGTGATTTTCAGTGACCTGCCTCAAAATCCACATTCTGATTGGATGAACCATAGCCTCGCCCGCGGTGAAAAGTCTCAGCGGTTGTCGATTAACGATATGCGCAGCGGCCATATTGTACTAGAAGAACAAATATTTTATCATGCAAACAGTACATTGTTCCTGCCTCACAACTGAAAATGACTGTCGAGAAGCCTCTTTTATTCTGTATCTGGCAGTAAGTACATGATGGCTACTCATGTTTCTATCGATCACGAGAAAGCGTGATTTGGATAACAAGAGCTTAAGGCAGGGCTAATATCGTCTAGCGGTAAAACGTGGCCTTTTTTGCCGTGAATGGGGTTTGCCATTCCAGGGTCATACACGGAAGCCCAACAGGTTTCACAACCCACTCAATAAGGCAGTCGATGTATCGAATTAGAATTTATAGAAGTTTATTTTTGCGGAAAGAGGAAAACCAGGGAAATCGGAGAAAAACTCTCGAAGCACAGAAGAAAACCAACAAACAACTCTGTTCTTATACTTATTTTAGCCTGATTCTGAAATGTGCCGGTATAGCAGGGACTGAACACTATTTCAGGCTAGACCCCATGGGTGGGGGGTTGGTGCAAATAGTAGGTGCGTACCATTTTTTATACATTTGTGTGATTATTGTTCAATTAGTTCAGTAGGCTTGTATCCCACTTCCAGCTGGGGGGGGAGTGGGGTCTGGGGAAAAATGCACATCACGAAAGAGTTAAGAAAAAAGGAAATATCGCATACCTATTTTTTCCAGTGTCAAAATATACTTAAAAACAGCATAATAACTTGACGCATGTGTAATTGGTCAACAAGACACAAAATATACGTTCATATCTTTTTATTTCTGGCCTCAGAGATAAGGCTTTTTATCCCCACGACGTAAACCTAACGTCTTTATATTAGATTTTCTAAACACAAGCGCACATATCTTTAGGGCAGTTGCTTGGGCAGTTACCATTACACCAATTATCCATAATTGCGTTCCCAGCCCAAGCACCAATAGCCTTGCAAGGACCTGATGGGACTGGGGCTGTGGTACCTGCTGGCCTCTGGGTAGGAGCAGGTGTTGCTGGTGCTTGTGTTGCCGGAATGGGTACTCCCTTCTTGAGGATCCTGACGTCTGCGCAGTTGACAAAGGTCTCCTGTGGCCCGTGTCCCATGCCGCAGCCCTCGCTGTCGCAACCCCAGCTGTTACCAGTCTTCCACCACCACTGGATGACGCATTGGCTGCACGTCAGTCCGGCGGGGAGGCGTAACTTGATTTTGTACAAGCCTGGAATGCAGTACAATCAAATTTAAATATATAGAATGTTTTAGCTAATGAACACCTAGCTCCTGTAGCTGGTTCAGACGGAGCTACATGATTCAACTGAGTGCATGTAAAATTATATTTATGGTTCCATCTACGTATAGAAATTATTCGTTGTGTTGCGATGTTTTCCCATTCCAAGCAACAAAAAAAATACATTGGCAGAATCTGTTCCATTGCTTTTAAGGGACGGACCATTAGATAGTTGATTGGGGGGTTGCGTAAATCCCCCCCAAAAAATATCGAGCAAGCACTTAAACCTCAAAAAAATATAATGCAACCTCTTCTGCTAGAAGAAAAATATCTAACTGTACGTAAAAAAATAACGTGCAAGGGTTGAGCCAAAAAAATAAAAAAATAAATCATGCAACCAAAATCCCTGCAACCCCCCCATCGATTATCTAATGGTCCATCCCTAAGAAGATGCACTTTTAAAAAGCAGTTCTCCTCCCTCTTCCATCCATTAATCCGTCCTCCCTTTTCTCCTTTCCTTGTTATTGCTTCGTTTCTCTTTTTTTCACTCGAACCATCTATTTCTTTTTATATGCGTATTCTTTTTTTTTGTTCTCTCCCTCTTGTTGTCTTTAGCAGTAGAAATAATACAGCATTAGGAAGAATACCCATATTTAGTATAATAGCTGTTTAGAATTGAATATAGAGTTCTGCGCAATGTGATTGGTCGAGCAAACAGTGATTATGATCGAAAGGTTATATATATATGCACTTAGTCGCAAGCGGAATAAAATCTCCAAATAAAGCGGAAGTATTAATAAAAAATTTCTTATCCTGAATTTCTACTTTTCTCTGATACTTCTATAAGTCTAAAATTGTTATAAATTGCGTCCAGGTGAATATTTATAGATAGGCGAATACTGATGGCTTAAATTTATCGCATTTCCGATAGTTTTGCGTGTTATTTCCTCTTATTTTACCACGATATGACGACAACAGTTGGTCAAAATGTAAAGAAAGAAATACGGTTTTCAGCGAGCCCTGACTCCGTGCGCATGCGACTCGTAATTTGTTGACGTAATTTACAACGGCTCTTGACCAATCAGAAAGCGAGATAATTCACTTTTGTGATAAGAATCTTAATAATTTGTTCCATTGATATTCAGTGGTAAATCATACCTTTGCCTTTGACGTACTGGTTGTGAGACCATCTAGTTCCTCCACTCGACAGCACCAACAGATGTGATAGTTTGTCTTGCGTAATGGGTGGTATCCCAATATCACCGATTCTGAACTCCGACCAACCCTTGTGGGTCACGGTGATCATGAGCTGTCCAACAAACATAGAATCATCAGTGAAAAAGACGATCAAGAAATGTCAGTTAGTTAGACATTAACCTATCAGCATATGTCTATGAAACCGTAAATGGGACCACGGTTAGGGTAGCCTGCCGTGCAGACGTTTTTAGTGTTGGCTCGTTTGTGGGGAGAAGAAGGAACGAGCCGACACTAAAAACGTCTGCACGGCAGGCTACGGTTAGGGGCGTCGCTCCTAAAAAAGTGATCAAATGGGAAATTCCACTTTCTCTGTTTCGACGGTCTTACCTCAAGCTCAAATTCCTGTCCCTCAGTGTAAGTCTTGACGATAGTCCCCGTGGCGTGTGTACCAGGAAACACGTATTTTTGGACTTCAAGATGATAGGGATCTCCACACACACCACACTTGCCCTTATTCTTATCCCACTGAGTACTGACTGCACCACAGTTCTTCTCATCCATTGTCCATTCTTTCCCACAAGACGGGAACCCATACTGCCAACAAGCGTTCCTTGCTGCAGGATTCCTGATATACCCGTGGCCAACGGCTTGGTATATCACACTACAAAGTATGAGGATTGCGCAGAGAGCTTTGAAGGCCATGGATTTGGTGTCAATGAGTTTTGATTCAAAGAAAGGTGATGAATAGATATATTAGGGATAGGCAGACAGTGCTAATATACTCTCAGCTGTCTAGAGTGTGACGTGCCGTGAAGGGATATAAGACAGATGATGTACTTTAAAATAAACACTCTACTTTGTTCTATAAGGTGTATGCCAAATGGATCGCTGTCGTGTTGGAGGCAGACGGTTAGACCTGCTCTAGGTGTACAGTGCGCTAAGCAAATAAGAAAAGCTAGAATTTGAACTGCGGTAAAGCGGAAAGCAAAACGTTTACTCTTGCTATTGCGCCGCTTTTATCGTCTACGAGTAAAAGAATAAACATCTAATATAATTCTTAAATATCTTCTGCATTTTCGTTTTTGTTCCAGTAATAGAATGCTTTGCTGACCAAGGTTAATGAGATTCATAGGCCAGGCTACCGAATGCAGTAACGGATCATCCAGAGATGGTTGCATGAGTTCTATGGGAACCCCCTTTGGATGTTGAAGCCAATCGTGCCGGCTTCTTCTGCATGGCGACCATTTTGGAACCCTTCCCCTCCTCCCCACCCCTTAACATCCTGGATCCGCCACTGAAATGGAACTATTACGAAAAGGATTCTGGTAGTTTATGATATCAAGACTTAATACTAAGGGAATAGCATTGAAGTAACACGGTAAAAGATTTACCTTTGCCCTGTCAGGTTTTCGAACAGGCAACTATTTTTAGCGTTTGAGAATTATATTGTTTCTTTTCTTCTTTTTTCAATCTGGTCTTCTTTTGTGTGTGTTTTTCTTGCCTTGTTTCTTTCCTTTTTTTCGTTCTTTTTTTCTTTCCCTATTTTTTTAGCTACAATTTTGAAGGAGCGGCACTTTGCATTTTCTTTTTCCCCTGTTTTATCCTGTTTTATCCCGTGGACTCTCTTTTTCTTTCCTTTAATTATTCTCCTTTACTCTTTTTAAGATTTTGATTGGGAGTCACTTAGAACAAAAGATCGAGCGCTTCATGGTGTTATTGAGTCAGGACACTCAGATGAGTCAACATGATATGACAGACACAGGTGATACGGTGACATACGGTGGTGGCGAGGGTTTGTTTGATCCAGGTGGACTTGTGTGGACTGAACACCGACACTGGAGATAGATAGGAAATGGAATACAGAAAAAGCGTGAATTAGGAAAAGAAGGACAAAAAATGAAAAAGGAAAAGAAAGAAGCAAGAAGGAAGCAAGAAGGAAATAAGAAAGAAAAAAAATTAATGATACGTATAGACGGACAGTACAAACAAAAAGAAAGAAGGAAAAGGAAGGGAGGGAAAAAAAAGAAAGAAAGAAAGAAAGAAAGAAAGGAAGGAAGGAAGGAAGGAAGGAAGGAAGGAAGAAAGTCTAAGGGAAGATTAAAGAGAGACCTAACAATACTTGCAAGCAATATTAAAATTTCATAAAGTAACATTTTTTTAGTTTTAGTGCCGTCTGTGGGAAGAAAAACAAGACGTGTCCCTTGCATCAGGGTTATTCACGCTACCTTCTAAATAGCCTTTAAATGCTTCGAATATCAAACTATGTAGAATATAAAATATCAACGATATTTAAAGCTATTTAAAAAGGTACACGCCGTGTAGGGGTCGCCATAAATATTCAACAAAGCCTTTTGTGTTTTATTTGCATGGTTCGAATGCTTTTGTCTTTCTAAATTTTACTCTGTCTGTTAAATCATTTTTTCTTTCTGGCTCGTGGTTTTGGCCTATATTGCCATGGTGTCGCTGTCACAGTACAAGTATCAATGTCCGAATTACAATCAAGAAGTATAAGTTCTGAGATATATGTACAAGTACCGTACATCTTTATCAGTACATTCTTGTCCGTTACGTTATCCGAGTTTTAGTATTAAACCTTATTCATCAGTTTTTGTCATCTAAAAGAAACGTCATTTACCGAGAGAAATGTTTATTTACATATTACGTCTCTATGTTTTCGTCATCAGTTTCTACAGATTAACGTACGTTAATCTTAACGTACGTTAATCTTAATGAAAGATAATGGGGAGGGGTGGGGATTGGTGCGGCTAACCTTGAAGCCTAGACACGTAGAAAAAGAGGTTTCCCGTTTAGTTTGCGAGACGCTATATAAGTGTACAATTCAAAAATCAGCAATAAATCATCAAATAGGCATGAAATAACTTTGAAGCTAGTACTTTCAGTCAAACAGATTTCCAATTTGTAATTGGGGGAAGGGAGGGTGGGGACAGGGGAGCCGTGACTGTCCATGATCAACCTCAGCAAATCATCCCTGCCTCCCCTCCCCCCTGAAACACATGCAAAAAGAGGTGTGTCACAATCAGCACCGGACCATTTGGATACCCTTTTTGTTAGTTTAGTAATGAGTGTTCAAATAGAATAAAATAATTTTATTTTACACTGAATCGAAATATGGCGACCAACTCGAATAACTATTGTACGTTCTGCACTGACTAGCGACTGACTAGCCTCTTGACACTAGACACATGAGAAAACGCTTTTTATGTTTCCACGTGAACACGAGACTAGTAAGTACTAGTAACTAGTCAGTGCAGAACAATGTGAGTTATTTGGTGTATAGTGGGATACAAGTTCATTTTATGTCTACAGGTTTTCTAGTTTGGCCCACTGTCACTCACACAGACACACACATTCAAAATTCTATGCACACGACTCTCAACTCATGTTGATTTTTACGGAGGAAAACCAGCGAACCTGAAGAAATAACCGCTATCAAATATTGATAAATTGTGAACATTGTACTGAAACACCGTTACCAGCTTTTGTTCTTTCTTTTTCTGCTTGTTTTTATGTTCACTGACCATAGGATATGTTTTCTTTTCTGTTGAAGTTATCGGTATGATAGGTAGAGTGAGTCCAGTTTTAACATTTTTTGCATCCTCGGGAATTCAGGTGAAAAATTCGGTCGCTTTTTTCTGTAGAGAGAAACGAGCGACAGAATTTTACCCCTGGGTTCCCAAGGATGCATAAATGGATACATATAGTCCAACATACATTAGCAGACACTAATTATAATCTATTCAATTCTACTGTTTTACTGTTTCTACTATTTCTACATTTAGACTAGATTTCGTCTTACACGAAATTCATGAAATTAAATAAAATCCCTTTCCATGAGGAGTATCAAGTATTTTAAACATCAGGGAGTAGCAATCAACTCGAGTGTATTTTTTGATCCAAAATATTTACTTAGAGGACAAAGAGACCAGCACTTAACGTTTGTTTTCCTTTTCTAAAAGGATCCACACTCACAACCTGCACAGCTGAATAAATATAACACCACGTGAAATCACTGTAAGTAAAAAGCTATAAAAACACACTTTAAGAACTGTAAACGCTATTTCAACTCGCGTAAAAAATGGTCCGAGAACTGAGCTGTGTGGCACTCCTTTTAGCAATTCTTTTCCCGCTTGTTGCTGGCCACGGATTCATCAGAGATCCACCAGCTAGACAAGTGTGTTATCGAGAATTCCCTAAAAGATGTACAGCAGTTCATTGGACGCCTGATGAGCTGAACTGTGGCGGATTCAGTACACAATGGCATAAAAATGGCGGGAAATGTGGCGTTTGCGGAGATGCTTACCACCTCAAAAACCCGGCCTTTGTCTACCCGGGACGATTCGCTAAAGGAGTCATTACTAAAGTGTACAGACAAGGACAAGAGTTCGACTTAACGGTGAAAAACCTTCAAATTTTATAAATACCTTGAGAAAACCTCTGGGCTGATCTAAGTCAGGGCACGGCAAAACTCACAGATCGAACCCTGAAACAAACTTTGGGCTAATCTATAATTCAAGGCACGACTAACCCACAGATCGAACCCTGAAACAACCTCTGGGCTGATCTAAGTCAGGGCACGGCTAAATCACAGTTCAGACCCTGAAACAAACTCTGGGCTAATCTATAATTCAAGGCACGGCTAACTCACAGATCGAACCCTGAAACAACCTCTGGGCTGATCTAAGTCAGGGCACGGCCAACTCACAGATCAGACCCTGAAACAACCTCTGGGCTATTCGTATAAATCAGGGTACAGCTAACTCAGATCGAATTGGAATTTAGCTTGGTAATTAGGTTTTGACGAAAGATGGAGAACTCGGAAAGGCCTTCCCAAAGATGGGAAAGAAAGACCTAACAAATTGGAAATTAGAAGATGGTAACAAGTACAGAACTCTATTTCATATGTCAGTTATGTCAAAAATAATTGAGATGCATGAAAGTTTTGGTAGACTAATAGATTTAGTAGGTCGGAAATATAGGAGTTGGCTGTGACGCTAAAATCAAGAATATGCCGTTTACATGATGCAACGGCATGATTTTACTACCACTACCAAAATGCCTCGCGAATTTTCTTTCTTATTCAAATTTGTATTAGCACCAATTGTCTTGTATAGCAAGACAATTGGTGCTAATTAACTGAACAAAAGAAAGTGTGCATGGGATTCTGGTAGTGGTAGTAAATGACGCTATAATGCAAGTGACCTTTTGAAAAGAAAGGTCGAAGCATAGTTAATAAAGGAGAAACCATCCCCCTCTATTTACTATAGACCTCCTCGGCCCTGACGTAATGTTTTCTCATTTCAGACCACGTGTCATTCCCTAGAGTATCATTTCTTTGTTTAAGGTTTGCGCTCGGTTGCACATGAGAAGACACATGAATATTATTCTCAAGGGAATGACACGTGGTCTGAGATGGGACAACATTACGCTCGAGCGCTCCAGCCAGAGCCGAGGAGGTCTATTATCGAAGAAATGTGATGACTGGCTTATTTCTTCCCTGTGCAGTTGACAATTACAACCAACCACAAAGGATGGTCTGAGTTCAGAATCGGTGACATTGGTACACCACCCATCACACAGGCCAAGCTGACACACTTGCTACAGCTGTCAAGTGRAGGAACAAGATGGATACATGGATCCAAGAGTGGTACGCTTTCCATTCTATATGACGTAGCATATCACTAATCTCACCCCATCTCACCTCACTATCTTTTCCTATTAGCTTCACGAACATTTTTTAGGTGGTTGAATAGTGGTTGTCGTATGAGTGGGAAACATATTGCACTGACTTGCAGCATTTACACGGCACGACATGCCGCAACATTGAGATGGCTTTCCATAAGAATGGTTGTCGTATAAGTGGGAAACATACGGTACACTGCACTTACACCGTACGACATACCGTAACTGTCATTAAAATGATTTACCATTTTCTTCCACTAATGCAACCAATCACAGCGTGTATTTACGTCTATGATAAGCTGTGGCACGGCTACGGGTTTGTCATGTCATTTCCCACATGAAAACCGCTCTATGGAAAGACATATCAGCCCAAAGTTCAGTCGAGTGTTGAGAAATCATGATGAGGAATTCGCAAAGTTTAAAAAACAGGTACAAGGCTCTCACAACTTGTGTTTGTGTTTTATATTTTTTGGGACTTATACCATAAAACTACGACTGCCCGCTGGGGTGACATGTAAACACTGTGTGCTACAGTGGTGGTGGAAGGTTGGTAACAGTTGGGGATGTGAAGGTGGCAAGTGTGGTCAGGGACTAGGACAACAGGAGACCTTTGTCAATTGCGCCGACATAAGTATTACTACCTCTGGAGGAACACTCCCTACTGATGGTCCAATACCCCCTACGCAGGCACCCACTCCACCCCCACCATTCCCTACAACACAAACACCACCTCGCCCTACGGATCCACCGACGGCGCCACCTACACAAGCACCTCCGCCACCAGGAGGCAAGTGTAAGGCAATCGGCGCATGGGAAGGAAATCCTGGCATGGATGCGTGGTGTAATTCTAACTGCGCTTTTAACAATTGCCCCTCAAATATATGCCTTTGCAGTTAAAGAATATCTTCTTTGGCGGCAGATATGCACTAACTTGTCACGTGATCATTTCGCACCACATTGGGCTGTGTAACCATTGTAATCGTAATTTTTCATATAGCAGCTTGAAAACTGAATTGTAATCATTTGTCTAGAGATGGTTTAAGAGTAAACCGAAATATTGCTCATCAAGACTGTTGTCTGCTTTTTTTTTGGAAATATTCTTTTCTGAAAATGCAGCTATTCGAAATTGCCTTCATTCTCTTTTATGTAAAGGTAATTATGTTACTATGATAACGCGGGAAGTGCATGGTTACCCAATTCTATCGAGCCAGAGGCTGATAAAGCGTTAGAAGGTGCGCCCTTTATCCCCTCAGACCATCAGTGCTCCTTAATACGTACAGGTATTTAAAGCTAAAACTAAAGGTACACAGAACAGAAAGAATTCATAGAGAGTACCATCTTTATTTCTTGACGCAACCACAACTAATGGATAACCATGCATTAGGAAACGAATATTTATTCAAAATATTGTCCCCTATTTGGTTCTAAAGAGCATTCAATAAGAGGCTATTATCTAAGAACACAGTTACTGACTCTTAAACTAAGCTTACATGAAGACAATCCAGCTTATTTAACGGTTGACTTCTGTATCAAATGCAACGGGGATGCTTGTTCAACATTTGCAAATACTTGCAGGGCAATATCCCGTTGCACAGTTCTTCTGGCACCACATATCCATTGCAGTGTTCCCAGTATATCCACCAATAGCCTTGCAGCCACCAGGGTTGGGTGCGTTAGTTGGCATAGGGGTTGTTGTGATTGTTACAGCGGGTTGGGTAGTGGGGGGTGGTGGTTGTGTAGGAGGATCTGTTGGGACAACGCCATCTTTGGACACGATTCTCACGTCTGCGCAGTTCACAAACGTTTCTTGCTTCCCATATCCAAGACCACATCCCTCCGGGTCACAATCCCAGCTATTTCCTGTCTTGTAATACCACTGTAGCACGCAGTGGTTGCAGACCAAGACAGCAGGAAGTCTCAGCTTGATGCTAAACATCTTGTTGCCTCGGTCTGGCAAGGGCCACCAAGTGTTTCCCTCAGGCGTCCTTAGGACATGGGTCAGTTGTTCACTCGTTATGGGGATCTTACTAAGCTTGCCAATAGTGAACTTGAATCGTCCCAAATGGTTGGAGGTCAGTTCTACAAGTACAGTAATCTCTTGTCCTTGTCTGTACGTCTTGGTAATCACACCCTTAGCGTATTCTCCAGGGTAGACATGTTTTTGGATCTTCTCGTGGTAAGGATCACCACAGACGCCACATTTTCCTTTGTTAGTGGCCCACTGAACATTAAATCCCCCACAGTTGAGCTCGTTGTCCGTGTAATGGTTAGGACACTTTCCTGCAAACTCGGGGAACCTCCAACAAGCGTTCCTGGCTGCTGGGTCCATCATTCGACCATGACTCGAGACTAACACCACAAGGGAAGAAATCACCAAAGTACCAAAAATCTTCTGGAATCCTTTCATTTCGCAAGATATTCTCCAATCTGCTGGAAATACTAAAGGGCGAGGCTACTAACTTTATATAACCATGTCGTGACGTCACATTATTAATCACGTGTCATTCACGTGATTTTTATCTGGCTGCAACTCTTTGGAAGATCAGGCAGCTTTGGTGTCATTCAATTGACTTTGCTGATTAAATACAGCAGTGTTTTATGTATCTTGCTGTCTTCAAAAACGTCAAAAATGTGACTTTTCAAGTCTCTTTTATCTCAAATTTTGCGTGTTTTTTTATCATAACTTTAATCCTGCACAAATATGACTACTTTTTGTGACAGTTTTGTGTGTACAAGCAGCACGTTTAGTACTCTATATTCTATCCATTGTTTTCTTTGGACTATTTCAAATTGTATTATTTATAGTACACGGTATTTAAACAGTAATCCTAGTAGTCTATGTGCCACGAATTTACTAAAAAAAATGTATTATTGTATATCTCAATTTTAGTATAAAATATATGAAACTAGTATGGAAAATGAGAAAAAGTGGGGG